TTCCTTTTTTATTCAAATACTATTTCTTTTTATTTTAAACTTTTATCTTTTTTTATTTAATTAATCACGGCAGATGATTTTCATTTAATGTCATTTATTTAAATTTTCATTTAATGTCATTTATTTAAATTTTGTGTGGTTTTGACCTTCTCTTCTAAATTTGGTAATTGAGTCTTTGTACTAGTTTAATTGTAATCTTGAGTTCTCTTGTTATAACTATAACTATAACTCTCTCTATATATAAGATAATATTTCTTTAATTTGTTACTTATGTATTATATTTTAAATATAAGTGTATGTTTAATATTTTAGTATCTATAAAATTTTTAATTTGTTCGACTAACCTATAGAAGACCTCCAAAAATTTGGGGTGCCCTTCCGAAGGTTATTCGAACAAAATATTTTTAACATTATTAATTCTTTCTTATTAAGTTAATTAGATATACAATATTTTTAAAATATAAATATATTTTTAATTGAATATATCATTTTTACATAGTTATTTTAATATATAAATATTTATTTTTATGTATTTATTTATTTATTTATCATTGCTTAATTATCTTATATATTTATCCTTGCTTAATTTTATTTCATGTTGATATTCCATACATTCTGTACATTTCATTTAATACTGTGGCATTTATAAATCATACATTTATTTTCGTGTTTTTTAATATTCAAAGGCAATGTCGTCATGGGTTATTAAAATTACGTTCAACATGACTGAATTTCAATTTCTGTTAATTCACATAGTCCGGGACAACTTAAATAAAATTGAGTAAATTATAACATTTTTACCGAGTCAAATATTTCAAAAGTAGATTTGCCTATGCTTTTAAAAATCATAGAAATAAAAATGATCGTAATTAAATTTTGAATTCAAATTTGTAAAATTCCACCATTTATGTGACATATAATTGACGGTACTAATTTTGGGCACTATGGGGATGCTCACCCTTCCCCATGTTTAATTGAATCTCGAATCTTGAAAAATGAATTTGTGGTAATACGCGGATCAAATTTTGTCTTTAAAATGATTTTCTTAAAATTGTTTTAAAAGACATTTTTAGGTATTCGATCTACCTAACCCAAAGGTCGATGGAGACTCCATATTTTGAATTAAACAAAAATTTCAAAAATTTCAAAATAAAGTCATAATTATTTTTAAATTGATTGATTTATTAAAAAATGGTTATGACACAAGTGATATGAAAAGAAAATACTACTTTTTTCATAAAGAAAGATCATTGAGTACATGGTTTAAATAATTAAAAAAAGCTAACTATAAATACTAGAAATTAGAAAGATAGGATCACGATTAGATTTAGTTTCTAAACAACTAAATGAAAAATAACTTATCACTAAACAATTTAATGACATATAACAAAATCCTATAACACACTAATATTAATTAAAAACAAATGCTCAAATAATAATAACTGTCCATAACAATTTGAATCACCCTTTCAAAGTTGGAATCATCAAAGGGCAGTCGGGGGAACCCATGAAACCAACCCAAATTTTCAACTGTGAGAAATTAGCAGTAGGATCATCAATGCTTCCTTTAATATCCATACGATTTTGAACCTCGCTTTCACTAGAAACATTGAAGGAAAAGTTGAAGTTCATGTTTCCTTCCTTATTTGAGATGAGACTTGATTGCCATCCCCTCGGTGAGATGGCCCGGTAGGTGCCTTAGCTTCTTCTGAAGGAATGGCTGGAATGTGACCACGGAAAAGTGCAATATGCACAAACAACTTATCTTTCCTTGAAAACTTGGTTCCACAAGCCACAATGCTTCTCATGATTTTTCAGATAAACAATTTGTAAATTTGCATCTATCTTGGATCCTTTTCCACATATAGTGCAGAAGTGAGTGCGGGGTGCAAGTATTTCTTCCTTTTCTAACTGCAATATCCCATGCCTTTCACGTAAAAGGGCAAGGATCAAGGTGTAGTTTGACAGTACGACCAATAGATTCACCGGCAGTAAAGGCCGTCAACAGACTTCACCAACATTAAACGGCTTGAGCTGCCTGGTTTAATTGGGGTTAAAGGTTTTTGTATAAGTAGGCGGATGTAGAGGACTAAGAGCTGGAGCTTGGTGTTGATTAAGCAGATGAAAAGTTCTGAATGTTGCGTGAGACTGTTGATCTAGACTAGTCTGCTGACCTATCTCTACAAAATGTTGATTCATTTACATACAAGATTTGGTTCCCTAGACTGGAGATCGTTGAAGCTCCCAGGCCTGGAGCTTTATCTATACCATCCTCACACTATTCCCTTCTGAATCTGCGATTAAAGGACCGCCTTGCATTGCCTCATAATACCTATATAATTAATTAAAACAATAAAATTATGTGTGATTATTAATTTTAACTTGAGAGATTTTCAAAATAGCATTGTCAGACTGTGTAAAGAAACATATAGCGTCAGTCTGGTCAGATTTGTAGTTTCTTTCTTGGTTGTACGCATTTTGTGTAGCCTTTTAGAACTGGAGATCAGTGTATATGCAGTGCTTTTCCAGCAAAGGAAAATGTTGTTATTTGTCACAAGGCATGCGCCTCAATGTTGTCCCAACCTTACTGGGAAACATTCAAGCAAGGGAAAAAAAGATGTTTGAAGTAAATCTTACTCAAGTTTGAGTAGCATTTAGGTAAAATCTTTTAATAATAATCATCCAAAACATAGATAAAATATGTTAAAAAAATTCACTACCATTTTTCATCTCACTTTATAAATAGAATAAGCTTTTCAAAATCATTGATTTGATCAATTAATATTTAGTGTAAGGTCCATGAAAAATTAAATCCTAAAACATTTAAAAGAAAATGAGATATATCATAATCTTTTAATCTCATTTTAAATGTTTAAAGATGTAAGATGTGTTTGAAAAATATTTAATAATTTAATTTAATAAGTTAAAAAAATAATTAAATTTAAATATTATTGAATTATATTTAGTCCATAATTATAATTTATAAGTCTCATGGAATTAAAGCTAACTAAAACTTTCAACTATACTCTCTAATACTCAAAGGACATATAATTTAATTTAATTATACGAATAATAACACTCTTCAAATAATTTATAAAAATAGTTATCAACATCATCAGTTATCATGATTTTCATATACATACCCATATAAAAATTTATCACAGAGATGACTCAAATTGCATTTCATATATGATGACGATGATGATCTTTACACATGTAATTATTAGGATTTATAATTATCATTTTCTTCATTCTCATTTGTTTTATGATTTTCACACAAATAATTATTTGTGATTATTTTTAATGATTAAAACTAAAATAACTATAGATATATATAAACTTATTTTAAAATTAGTGTCTCCAATGTTTAAGAAAAAATATGTTAAAATAATTTGTTATCGGTTGAAAATATCTTAATTTTAAGTTAAAATCCAAATATTTAAATTTAAATTAGTTTTTTCACACTCGTAAATTGAGTTAAAATATTTTATAAAACATATGTATAAAAAAGATTATTTGATAAATAATCGCAGATTGATTGATAAAAAATGTATATTTAGATTCATTAATCACTTATTCAATATTTATATAATTATTTTAATGGTTTTATATAAAATATTATTTGGTATAATGTCAATTAAAACAATTATTTGATAGTGTCAATTAATAAAAAATCGAAAGTGGGAAACTGTCCCACCATCAACCTATCTCGTCTCTAGAAAATTATCTTATAACCATTTAAAAGTTTTAATAAGCACAAATCGAGCAACTTCATGGTAAAAGGATTGTTATTCCTTAATATTTCGGGTTTGAACATTAGAAATATCAGAGGTATTAGCGTTCAATATCAAATGGTTAAAAATTATCTTTAAATAAATATTATCTTATACTTACCCTAATTAATAATAAAGTTTTAATAATTATATATTATTTAATTTAATGACCTATAGGATATATTATCTATAATTAAAACACTTGACTGATTTGTAAAATAAAATGTTATGGACTGACATTTCAAAAGTTAAGATTCAAATTTTATTAGTGACATTTTTTTATAGTGTAAAAACAAAGAGCCTTATATATATGTATGTATACTTGATGAATTAGTTTTCTTGAATTTAATAAAAATAATGAATTAAATGCAAATAGGTTTTGAAATTAACAATTAAATAATGTTATCAAATAAGCAAAGTTAGGATGGGTAGAAAAGATAACAAAAAACCCTAGAGAAAAGCACGAAAAGATTGTAACCAAATTAGCAAGCATAAGCCAAAATGAATTTAGGAAAGGACAAAGGTGAAAGAGGAGGGAGGGAGCAATGTCTGTGGCCACTGCCAAATGGGTTTCAACTGACTTAAATACGTTTCTGTCTGCGTGTGAAACGAGTGAGATTGAGTGGTCATTTCAGCAAAAGTAACCTTTCAGCCCTAAAATAGATATAAAAAAAAGAAGTTAAATTGTGATACATTTTATAAGTCTTTTCTTTGTTTTATTATATATATAAAAAGCATGGAGTTCGATGATTGTGCCATGATGAATCGAAGATGATACATGCTATGCTAAATGTATGAACTGATAAATGCAGTCATGAAAAAGGGGATATAAGGGAGCCCTTGGGAGCTGAGGGGTGCGGCTTATTACCCGGGAGGTCGATAGTGGAGTTAGGGTTTATTGGGGTTCGGAATTTCAGGCAATATATATATTATCATTATGCAAATACAGGCTTTTAACTACTGAAAATAACAAGAGAGTAAGTGAAAGCTATGTCACCCCATGTACACGTCCCTTTCTTGCTACTCTCCCCCACATATACCGCCTTACCCCTTTCTCACTCTTGCTTAAACACAAGCTTTGTTTTGGGAATGTCAACCACACATATCATAGACTCAAGATATGTGTATATATGCATGTATATATCGATATATCAGTTCATGAATACATACATACAATTAATACATACATGCATGCATGCATGTTTGCTACAAAGAAGGGAATTTTATATTTCTTTGTTCTCTTTTTCCTCCTGCCACATACTCTTTTTTGCCGTCTTTATATCTAGCATACCAAGGAAGGTCCATCCATCCATCCATCTTCTCACTCTCTCTTTTCTCTCACAACTCATAATCAAAGAAAAGCAGATCCAAGGTGGTTGTTAAGCTGTCATTCTATCAATCAATCAATCCCACCGAAGAGAGATAACATTGATCAATCAATTTTAAAAGAGAAAGCAAAGGGGGAATCAAAGAAGATGTCATCCTCTTCCACCTTGTCTTTGGACCACCTTCCTCCCGCCGAGCAGCTCTGTTATGTCCATTGCAACATATGCGACACTGTCCTTGCGGTATTATTTACATTTTGTTTCCCCTCGCTTCTCCCACCACTTTCCTTCACTTTCACAGTTTCAGTCTCCATGGTTTAGCCTTTTGTTTTACCAAATAGGTCTCACTCTCACTTAGGGTTTCCTTTATTCACTTTCTAATTAGGTCTTTGCTATATATGTCTCCTTCATATTGATGGGGGATTCTTTGATTTTGTGCTATATATATAGGTTAGTGTTCCTTGCACAAGTTTGTTCAAGACTGTAATGGTTCGATGCGGTCACTGCACCAATCTTTTGCCAGTGAACATGCGTGGGCTACTTTTACCATCCACTAATCAATTTCATTTGGCTCACAGTTTCTACACTCCTTCACAAAATCTTATGGTATGGCGAATCAAGCAATTAGAGGACTAAGCCTTTTGTTGATTAAGCAGAAAACATTATTGGGTTCTTGTAGCTGTAAGCTTGTATTTTTTTATTGGTGCTCTCATAGTTGATGCCTTTCATTGTTTTTCCAGGAAGAGATCTCAAATACTTGTCCAAATTTGATGTTCAATCAAGCTAATGCGAGTGACATAGCCTTACACACTCGTGGAGTTGCTGCTGATGAGCTTCCAAGGCCTCCATTTATCTACAGAATTGAGTTTTTTTTTTTTGAAGACTCCCATTGATGTTCGTATGGAACTATTAAAACCGTTTTTGTAAAACCCTCTGTGCCCTGTCCAACCCCCCCCTCAAAGATCCAAAATTCTCTCATAAAACTTGCAAAAGAAGGAAATGAAGTCTTTCATCAACAATATGTTAAGAACCCTTTTGCCTGCTATTTCAGCCTTCTGTTTTAAAATCAGACGCCCTGATTCAGACAAGAAAAAAAGAACTGTTCTTGTCTTTTACTCTAACTTGACAGTCCAAGAAATAATATTTCTTTAATAGTTACAAGACTTGCCCGCATTCCCTATATCATCACCATGACCCAGAAAACAAAGATCATGACATCTTAGACTGGCAACTAATAAGTTTATTTTCAGCTTTAAAACCTTGCTCCCTTGTTATAATTGGTAATAGTTGATCAAACGCTTGCCCAAGTTTTCAAGTTAAGAAAACGTCACCTTGACAGTTTGGGCGTCCTTCCTTTAAGGGAATCAGTAAATGTAAAGAATTTTCTTCCACCCCAGAAATGTAAATAGACATAGCATAAACTTAAGGAAAATTTTGAACAGTGAAATTTACACAATGAAGGTGAAATGACAGTCCAGTACACGTTACCATACGGAATTTCTAATGTATCTGTTTTTCCATCTTTAGCTCCGGAGAAACGACAAAGAGTCCCCTCTGCGTACAACCGATTCATCAAGTAAGCAATCAATATAATCCATTCTCTTGAAATGTGAATTTGATTATGTAAATGGAAATGAATCTGTGGTGCACAGGGAGGAGATCCAACGCATCAAGGCAGGAAACCCTGATATAAGTCACAGAGAAGCCTTCAGTGCAGCTGCAAAGAACTAAGATTTTTTTGGCTTCCATTACCAAATTAAGATAGGATTTCTCATGTAACAGAAGAAAAACAAAGTAATTAGTGTTTCATTTAATTTATTCATCTCTATTCCTACACACAGTGTTTTGATAGGATCCTTTGGCTGATCCTATTTTGTTTTCTTTTTGTCAGTGGGATCACTTCCCACATATTCACTTTGACCTCATGCCTGATCAGCCTGCCAAGAAGGCTAACGTGAGCCAGCAGGTTACTTTTGCACCCCTTCATCTCTGATTTACTACTACATTATTACTTATTTGATCGGATCGGATTTATTTTTCCTGTAGGAGGGCAAGGGTGTTCTCATGAAAGATGGGTTTTTCTGCTTCAGCTAAAGCACTGAACTTAGCTATGGAAGCTGATGCTATTAGGATTTAGTAGTTCTACGTAGTAATATTTAAACATGCATGTAATTTTAGTTTAAGATAACATCCTGTGGTCTTGAACTTGGAAAACCTAACTCTTTAATCTCATTCGAATCTTTGCTAATCAACTACTATTAGTTTAAACTCTCTTATCCCTTTTAATTAGTTAATCATTTTTTCACTCTTTGTCTTATGAGACAGATATCTGTAGTTCTGTACTGTATTCTGTTTGTTTGCATTCGTTCATTTTATCACATTATGATGTGATAATTTGGGAGTTTTGCATATCCATCAGTTCATTCTATTTTCCACAAGTACAATCATTTCCTCTTTATAATTGAGATGAATCATCAGAAAGTTCAAAAAAAAAAAAAACAGAAGAAACTGAATTCTAGTTCTTAATGTCGGTAGAAGTAGAACAAGGGAAGTCATTATCACAAGAAACTAATTAAAGACAACGTGGATAAATACATATACAAGTACAAATAATTAAAGAAATTGTTATATGTCATGTGCATATTATGTATATGCATGTGAATGGGGTTGGCTTTAAATGTAAAACCTTAATCCAGTCCGACCCGAAGATCGATGGATTATAATGTCACAGAGACCATTGAAATGGCTAGCTTAAAATTTTTCTTTTTTAAAATGACTACAAACCATGATATATAAAAATTCATCCATGGAGGTATAAAATAAAAAACACGATAAAACTGAGTTTACAAGTATTGGGTAGCTCCCAAATATTAAAAATAATATAATATTGGGTTTAATACAAAACAAAGTTACGACTAAATAATAATAGGGTTTACAATAGTACATGCTCTTTAATTACAAATCAAGACGTACTATGAGGATCTCAGCTAAGCTGGAATATCTAGTGACGATAAAGCTCCACGGACAGTCTCCTAAGAACCTGTGCACGGAAACAAATTCCGAACGCTGAGCTTACAAGCTCAGTGATGCACTAATTCTATTGGGGACGAAAATTAGGGATGTCCAGCTATGAGTATCGATACTACTGGCGGGAGTATCGATAATGCCCATATAGTATCAATAATCAAGGTATAGAGTATCGATACTAGGCCATATTTTTCAACAATAGAAGCCACTTTTGGTACCAATACTCATAGGGGTTCATTACTTGGCCCTGAGGTATCGATACTACAAGTAGAGTATTTATACTACTCACTTTGGATGGTTAGATTTGACCTATATAAGGCTTGAAAGAGCTAAGGATGGTCTATAATGTTAGAACTTAGTCCGTGAGGAACTTAAATGGCCAAAGGGGCCTAGAAACACTTGTAGGAACACTCGTAGGAGTGGGTTACAACCAAAGTAGCCATAGTAGGCATAATGCGTCTAAGTATCTTCAGTTAAACATGTAACGAATACATAAGAATGAAGGACCGCTATAGAGGATGTAACAATAAGCAATATGACAAAATAATCATATTACGAAATACTAAAATTACTTACTACAAGAATGTCAGCGAATGGTGAACATACAATTATCCCTCCAAATCGAGGGTGAATTGAGGGAAAGCGTAGTAAGAACGATTAGGGCGTCGCTACCTAGTAATGAACCTGAGTCATATATCGATCTAGCTAGTGTTACAGACAATGAACAACAACCACACTAATCGTCGTAAAATTAGGAAACCCATAGAGACTTCTCTATAGACATAAATAACTAAAATGACCTAATATCGAATGACCAGAATAGAGCAGCTTGATAAACTAACAGAAGTAACAGACTAATAAACTTTTGCATAACGTTCTAGATGAGAGAACAAGCGAGATAGCAGCTAGTGAGGGGTTGACCTTACTTTAGTGTGTCGAGCTACACTAGGGTTGTAAATGAACCGAGCTTGAACGAACAAGGTTATGTTCGTGTTCTTTTATTTATTTTTGAAGGTGTTCGTGTTCATTTAAATTTTCAATATCGTGTTCATGTTCGTTTATTTATTTTTGAAGGTGTTCATGTTCGTTTATTTATTATTCACGAATATGTTCATTTAATGTTCACGAACATGTTCATTTATATGTTCATGAACATGTTCGTTTAATGTTCACGAACGTGTTCATGAACATATTCATTTAGCATTCATTTAATGTTCGTTTAGTGTTTTTTAGCGTAGTTTTAGTGTTTGTTTATTGTTTGTTTATTTATTCGATTTTTAATTTCATTTACAAGTTAAAGAAAACGATAAAATTTAGCCACTAGTGCTTAAACTCCTTAAAATTCATAGTTTAAAATGTAACTTTTATCACATGTTCTATTTAATCTTTATCTTCACCAATATTTAAAATGTAAAAGAAAGAAAAGAACAAGGAGAATCAGATAAACGAGTTTGTTCATGAACATAAATGAACTAGTTGATAAACAAGCTTGTTCGTGAACATAAACGAACCGAGCACACCTCTGTTTGTGATTATAAACAAACTAAACACACCTCTATTCGTGATCGTTCGTTTATTAAATGAACATAAATTATTTTGTTCATGTTCATTTATTTAGCTTAACAAACGAACGTTATACAAACGGTTCACCGAACGCTTTGTTCATTTACAGCCCTAAGCTACACTAGTGTGTATTTAGGTTACCTTATTTGCTCTAGTGGGGTATTGTTAGTGTGCAGGAAACTTCAAGGGCTAACTAGGGTTTGAGGCCCGAACACTCATGAGGAGTGGGTTAATGATGTCAGTGTTGTGTGTCCTTTAGGCCCTTAGATATGCATGTATAGTTTTATTAGTCCAGTACAATAGATATCCTTAAAGCTTGGCTTGACAGTTGTGTGAGATCGAGTCAATTCTTCAGTTGAGCGAGAATTGTATTGATGTTATATGACATTGGGTTCCCCCTCCATGATTTACCTAATGACTATGTGAGGACCAAAAGATTATCCAACAGCTTAGTGAGGATTTCATCGATGCTGTGTGACACTAGGTTCCCTCAATTAACTAGTTTCTAATGCTATGTGAGACCAGATACTAGTCAGTATGAAATTTAGATAATACAAAGTAGAGTTAGCGATGCATTTAGATAATGCACATGAGGGTAGTGTCACATTTAGATAATGCGTAGCAGTTATATTTATTAGGATTAGAGACCCTTTATAGGTGTTCTCATGGCGAGGCCCTTAGTAGAGGATTAAGGGAAGTGTAGAACCCCTACTCTAGTGATAAGACAGTTAAACCCTAAGTAGTAGCACTTGAATAAGATCATGTATGTACCTACTGCTTAGTATCATGCCTTTAATATGCTTGTGTTTATGAGACTCATAATATTACTCTAGATTAGCGATTATATTGTTGGGATTTGTAAGCTCAGCGTTCAGATGTTTTTTGTTCGCATGTTAGTAGCTATAACCGATCGTGAGCATTGTCAAAGTATGACTTCCAACATCTCCTTCAGAGTATTGTATTATAGCTTTAATGGGCATGTGTATTCATAAAACCTTATGTATTTGAATTATAAACCTCAAGATGTATTATTTTAATTTAAACTATATGTCACGGAGCTCCGATCATAAAATGTTTTTATAACAGTTATTTATGTTTATTCTTGATACCATAGTGTGTTTTAAAATGAAAATGAATAGGTTTTGGAAATTGGGGGTTGCCTCAGTAGCCTAATGTGGTACTTTAGGCCCAATCGGGTTTAGGGTGTTACAATAGGAATGATAAAGTTCCTTGGTTTAAGGTCTTTTGGGGTGGCTATTTCTCGTTTTCTTTTATAGCTTGGCTTGTGCTTTTAGATCGGTTGTCGACTAAACCTCGAATACTAGTTTAGGGTTGTAATATTGACCCTTGTTGTCTAATGTGTAATTCTGAATATGAGTCTAGAGATAATCTCTTTTCTAATTTTTTTTCTTCTAGAGAAGTTTGGGAGAAAATTTTGATGAGTTGTCTTGTTTGTTGGTCTATGGGTGGTTGGGAGAATATGGCTTGTGCTCTAACTACTGAATGAGAGCTGATATAGTTGGTTGCTTTTGTTTCCTTATGAT